TCCTTCTTTATTTATTACTGTTATTTTTAACTTTCTATCATCTCTGGTGGTAACTGGAGATTAATTTAAGAAAGTAAGCTACATAAATAGGGGAATGCAAGGAAAAGTTGAAATACAGCAAACAAAAACGTACAATAAAATGGATTTCTATATAAGTATAAAAATTCAAATGGTATCTTTTATGTGGTTGTAATTTATGTGTAATATGCATACCTTTTTTTAGTTAAAATAAGTGCAACTAAAATTCAGTTTTGGGTTGTGGTAATAATGTAATCAGTGATAAACATGAGGTTTATTAAGCAAATTCATAGTCAATGTAATACACTTTTGCAAATTAGTTGATTTTTGGTTTCTTCCTTAATCATTTTCTTAGGCATGGTTACTGGAGGTTAATATCTTTGAATTATATTGTCCTAGGAAAGATGTGGCATGTTCTCAACGTGGAAACAAGTAAGATCTTAGACTAAATGAAATGTGAATACACAGAAGCATTCAAAAATTTATCTAGCGGGTTGTGTTACACGAACGCCCTTATGAAGTAGCTTAAGATCTCTGCCCATTTAATTCCCAAGTCCAGTGTGCAGCCAGTAAAGCACAGTCCTCAGGTGAGAAATGAGAAATTTTAAGGGCTGTTGAACACACTGAATTTAGCAGAGTGCTCAATAGCCCTCAAAATTTCTCATTTAGGAGGATGCATATGTATTGCTTCCAAAAATGAACACAGACTTCACTTTCCCCATTTACATTTCTTCCTCCCTTCTTCCCTCCCTCCCTGTATCTCTCTGAATCTCTTATGAGTGGCTGGTCTGCCCTTCTTCTCATTTTGAACCATGTAAGGTGCACCTGCTGATTAAACCACTGCAGTAAGTTCAGTGTGGAAAACCATACACAGAGTTGTGGTGTAACACCAGAAGATCCCAAACCCTACAACAGCCTCAAAGCTGCATGCTTGGGATATCTTTTTCCACTGCATTCCCATTTTAACTCCCTCAAACACAAGCATAACCACGACACTATTCAGGTTAATGTATATTATTTGCCTTTCTGGAGTCCCTTCCATTATTGCTCTGCTCCCCTGACTCTGGTATTCCCAGTGTTCTCAAATAACCTCCAGTCTGAAAGAGAAGACTGGGCCAAAATACGTGCCATGAATTTAAACTTCCAAGACATCGAGATTTTCTTCTTGCCTTTGAGCTACTTATGCTCTTTTATAATTTCAGATTTGCAGAAAGAGCAATTCGTATTTTTTCATCTAGAGAATTGACTTGGTGTGTGTTTGGGCAGGGAACATCCTCAGAGTAAGAACCACCTCATACCAAGAGTCAAGAATAAAATGAATTTGTGAATCAATTGTATTTAAAGAGACTTTTAAAATCGATAAGTTACAATTGCTTAATTATATGATAAGGCTCATAAAAGGCAAGTAATAGTGACATGTCAAACTATTGCAGATTATAAATAGATTACATTTTTCTGTAAGCTCTTTCTCTAGTTGAACGCAGCGGTCAATTAAGTAATTTAAATAAGTATTATGTGTCATTCTGCTGTTAATACAAAATAGCATTTCTCCATAAGGCAATAGGAAAACTTGAATCAAGGTTCCTTATGCTCATCTCTGTTTGTACATTGATTTTATGTTTCTTTTGTCGAATTTGTTTGGGTAGTCTTACCTTTTTTTTTAAATATGTATTTATTGAAATAAATATGTTAGTTAGTTGGTTGAAAGTAGCAAAATTCCTGGCAAATGGCAACAGTGAGGAAATTCCACAACCCATGCAATTCCATTAAGTTTGCAGAAATACTAGGCTGGAGAGAAGGACCTCCGTGGTCTTTCACTTGGGTAATATTTTTTTTTTTTCCTGTTGCAGAAAAACTAAAAGAAATGCAGAAAGAGTAGCTGGCACTCAGTTATTCCTGACCATAAGTTACTTTTGTGAAAAGCAATATCAGTGCAGGATAAAGTACTTCTATTTTTAAGAGTTTTGTTACAACAGGCTCCGTAAGAGTCCATAGTTGAAAATCCTTTCATCATGTTATAAATGCAACCTTTTTTTCTCTGTCCACAGTTCATGCAAAAACTTGAATTCCATATTAATATTCTCTCATTTCTCTTGTGACTCTGTCTTTGTGGTAATACTAAATCTACCATAAATTTACTTGAACTTTATCTCCTTGTGGAAATATGTAGTATTTTAGGTAACAAGGTTAGATATGCAGACTAAAAGCAGCCACTTTTGGCATTCTAAGTGCTTTTCAGAAAATTGATCCCGTGGGAGTTAAAATACTTCAGATGCTTGTATACTTAAGAAATAGACCATTAAGGCAATATACTGTGTTAGTCGTCAGTTGAATGTGAGTTATAGTATAAAAAAGTCGCTTTCTTTTGCTACACACACACAAACACACAAAATGAATTATCATATAGACTGAAGGGTAAATTCTGTCCTTCTTAAACACGTGTAATCTAATTAGCATTTGTGGGATTTACTGAGATGAATTTTCCCCTTGGCACGTGCAGTTGCAAACAGGGAGAACATGGACTGCAGGCTGCTAAGGGCAGACATCTGCCTGGAGGGAGATCCATGAAAGAAATGCCTGCATCCTTGCCCCCTGAGGAACTTGCATCAGCTGACATGGTCCATGAAGTTAGGAGAAGATTTTTAATTATGGGAAAGTTCCTCAGATGGTAAAAATAAGTAGAAATTTGCTTTGAAGGGGAAGGAGGTTCACATGATGTTTCTTGAAATCCCGAAGTGTAATTTAGTTGACAGAGACATGCTCTGGGAATCCTGCATTGCTGTAGAACTTCACAGAAATCTAAGTTACAACTAGGAATAATGTTGCTTTCTGAGAGAATTGAAATAAAAAGTTATGGGAGAGTTTCATTGGAGGTTATTTCTGCAGTGTGGGCCTCAATCGAAATTGAGACCAGTATTAAGGTTGATAATTAATCCTGTTAACTCTCTTATTTCATGTAGAAAGAACTCAGTGTACTTTTCAACATAAATTGTTCTTGATGTACATCAAGAAACGCTCCCCTTTGGCAGCACCTCCTCATTAGAGCTTATGAGGAGCACGGAAGACCTGCCAGTGCCTTTAAACACACCTGTCCCTGTCCAAGTGTATGACCCCAACTTACTTTACTTCGATGTTACATATATGTTATTAGCACCTAAATCTTCACTTTCTTTAATAATATACTTCTTTAATGACAGTATACATTTATTCCTCTTTTTTATGTCGTCTGCTAAAGCAGACCTGTTATGATGTATTAACTAGTATGAATTTTTGATGGAGTGGACAGTCTGGGCTGCAGCCCTGCATGTGACAAGCTGCCTCATTGCTTATTGGGAGCTACTTTTGAATTTGCTAAAGAAAAAATAAGAATTAATGTGCAACCATTTGGACCAGGGTTTTTTCGTAAAGGTGATTTTATTCATTTAATGCTGTCAAAATGAAAGTAGAAGCAAGTGTAGTGCAGTTGGGATGTTTAAGTGTCCAACATCAATATCTGCGCTCTCTGTGTCATACAAAGATTCGGTCCATGCTGTCTGATTAAAACAGGTTGTTTGTTTGTTTGTTGTGTATGTAACACATAATTAAAATACTACTTAAAAGTAGCTATACTTACAGCACTTTGCTTTCTGCAAGGTCGCCTCTGTGTGTCCCATGCCTCATGAGCTTTGAAAATCTCAGAAAAACGTGTGGGTTGTCACTACAACCAAGACCTTCAGGAATGTTTTGATGGCAAAGGAAAGATATGTAGAGACAGATGACTTACAAATTAAACCACCTCAGGATAGCATTTGGTTTATAGATTTGGGTTGATACCTTCAAGAAAATACCAAGGCTTTCTGTTATTTCAGAGAGAGTGCTTAAAATGAGAATCGTTCCTCTCACTGGCTGGTAAGTGGATTAGTTTGGCAAATTAAAGCTTTAGTTAGGATGACAGTAGAAGAGAGTATTTGTCCTCAGTCTCTGTCAATGACTCTCATGTCTAATGTTTCTTTTCCAGAAATTGAAAGAATACTGTGTGCATATTTGATATTGTATTTAGTCTCTCAAGATGGCATCCCAGGTCTGATGTTCAATTAGGGAGTGCAGTCCTGTAATCCTTATTTAATTAGAACTCCTTGTCACACTACCTGGGAGTTGCATTTGTAATTGGATTCTCACAAGTGAGAATATGCAGAGGCTACCTCAAAGGGAAGCTGTAATTTGCTGATGTGTGTTACTTACCTGTAGTTCTTCGAGAATGTTTCCTCTGCATATTCACATTATGGGTCCTGTCCACCTTCTGTTTGTCCTCGGATTTCTGCTGCTCTACAGTTGTGGTGTTTTCTAAGAATAACTGTAGTATTGAGCACTGTACAACTCTAAAAAGTCTGGTCACTTGGTGTCATGAGATGGCACTTGTACAGTCCTAGCAGTCGCTGCTCTTCTAGGAATTTCCTGTAGGCCACCAGCACTGGAGAACCAAAACCCACTGGTGTGAATATGCAAGGACAGCACTCTCAAAGAGCAAGCCAGTGGTAAGTACTCTTTCTTTGTCTTCTGTGATTAGCCAAATATTTCAAAATTTGTTTTCTAAGTTTCCTGTTTGAAAATTTGCTCCACTTTCTCTATGATAAAAGCATACTGAGATTAATTTTAGAGCTGTTGCCTTTCTGGCTAAACCCAAGAAAGTATCTGTATTTGCAGATACTCACTTCAGTTGTAAATTGATGTACAACTCTCAGTGTGTGGGTGTGTACACATGTTTGAGCTATAATGCATATTTCCATTAGACAAAAAGGCACAATGACAGTGCAGTATTATCTATTTTACAATCACCCTCTTCTAGTTATTATAGTTATAGTAGTTTAGACAGCAGAGTGAGTCACTGACCAAAAAAAGTCTTCAAATAATGTTAATTCTCAAAGCAGATTCTCCAAAAAAAAAATCGAAGGTATAATGCTTTCCACTACTAAATTTTCTCCTGAACTTCTGTTTCTTTCCAGACATGGAATTCTGTGAGACTCCCCACATCCTCTGCTCTGGCTATCAAACCGACCTACACGGTGTGGCTGAGCACAGTTACCCGCTGGAGGTGGGCTCGGACGTGGAGACCGAAACGGAAGGTGGGGCCTCCCCGGATCATGCCCTGAGGATGTGGATGAGGGGCATCAAATCGGAACACAGCTCCTGCTTGTCCAGCCGGGCAAACTCAGCCTTGTCCCTCACTGACACTGACCATGAAAGGAAGTCTGATGGGGAGAATGGTAATAAAGAAATGCATCTAATGTACTCAGTAGAAGTAGTAATTTGTTGAAAACTTTCTTCTTCTACCTCTCTTATTTTCCTTTTTTCCTTTTTTTTTCCTCTGTTCCTTTTTAAATCTCTGTGTTATATGTAAGGTGAAGGGATTGTTTGGGGTGTGTATAGTATTTATAGCATAGACAGAAAATAAGACAAAAAAATGAAACAACGTTTTTGTTAAAACATCATTCTTCTAGAGACTACTTTCCTGCATTCTTCATTTTTATATCAAATGATATTTATCATTTGAATTTGGTAGCCTACGAATTAGATTCTGAAATAAATCCATATATGTACATTTATATCCCATTTTACATGGAATTGTTCCTGCATGTTTTGGCTTCTGGGTGTAACTTTAGAGCTCTTCAGCCAGGTGACTTTAGAGAGAACCTTGAGTCCTAAATGCTCTATTTACCTCTCATTTTGTGCTACACCTGAAGACGTGCCTTTATTAGTAGGACAGATTAACCAGGTCTGGTTAATATCTCATATCTCAGTTCTGTATTTCTCTACATGTGAAGAGTGGGCTTCTGGTGGTTTCTAGATGGGGTACCTTTTTTTTCTTTTGGAAGTTTTTTAAATATTCATCCTCTTTCAGGATCTCTTTGTATGATTTAGTGTGTCACAGAAAGGGAAAATGTCTATTGAATTAAATAATGTGGGGAATTAGTATTTTTTTATCTCTGAATCAAAATTGATTACAATCTACTCTGTTTCCTTAAAGAGTAGAGTAAGTAAATAAATTTATCAAGCTTAAGATCAGCAAGCTTAGCTGATATTTTTAATTTCTGTGTTTAATAGCTGCATGCTATGGCAGGTCTAAGTGTTATTTTATGTGGTTTTTTAACTGGATAAGAAATAGAGGAACCAGTGAAAGTGGCAGATTGACACATCAGTGTTGACAGTGATACATTTTAGTAGCATTACAGTCATAAGATGAAAGAGTTCAGTTATAAATGTCATTTCTATAGTTATGTGTTTGAATTTGTCAAATACAAAGCTGGTAATTACAATTTCATCTGGATGTCTTTCAGCATCACTGATAATGTCCAACATAGACTTAAAGACATCAGATTATGTGCATGAGTTTAAAAAAAAAAGGTTTTGCTGCTCAGCTTGTTTTTAATTAAATATGCCTATGAGGATTAAGCATTCTGTGCTATCCCATGGTGTTGTGTCCCAGGATCACGTCATTTTCGGATGCCGCCCCATTTCCACAATGCAGTGTATGCCTTCCTTCCACCTTCCTGCTTCTGCCCCATCCTCTGTGGGATCCACCCTCTGGGAGGTGTGCTTGCTGAGGGTGTTTTTGTTTGGGGTTGCAAGGAGGGTATTTGTGTATTTTCCTCTGTGGTTTTCAATGGTGGCTGAAGGAATTGAATCTTGTTTGCCTGGCATTGGTTGGCCCTTAACTATGAAAATGGTTGAAAAGGAGTGTTGCATGAGAAAGTAATGTGTGTACTTGTGTCATTCAGATTGAAAAATACACATTGCTGTTTTAAGGTGCTGAGAAGTGGATGTATTAAAAGCAAATTAGGCATAAAACTGGGTTATGCATTTCAATCTGGAATGCAGTGATGCAGCTGGATGTCAATGATGTTTTGCTATCCATACGAGTTGCAATAGGTGATCTTTTGTAGATAAAAATTACTGTAAGTAGTAAAAGAAATACTTTTATCACCTTCATCGTCCTACACGAATGTGTGAGGAACCACGGGTTAAGTGTCGTTAAGATAGGGACACACAGTCATTGTGCTTCACCAACAAAGAACGGAGTGATTTCTTCTAAAGGTTTGTCTCTGAGAATGATTTTATTCAGTTTAAACTTATTTCCTACATGTTGTAGGCAGAGTATTCCTTTTGCATGTGGCTTTAATACTTCATTCCTTTTGAGCTTTGTAACAATTTTTTAATCAGGGATTCATGTTTGAGGCACTTGAGTACCAATTTTAACTAAATAGTTAGGAGAGGAAAACGAAGGGAAGAGTAAGTTGGAAGAGTAAGTTGGAAGAGAGAGAAACCAAGAACTCAAGTTCACTTGAATTCTTTAGATGTCTTAAGGCAGAGCCAACAAAACAGTGCTTCCTGTGGCACTGAGTCCTTATAATAATTACAGTCTTCAAAGTTAATGTGTGGATAAATTTGAAGACAATGGTTCAAGCTATATTCACTTATATTATCTAGTATTTCACAGGTGAGTTCGTATTGAAGATTCCTGATCCAGAGAGCAGTGTGTTTTCCCTCTGGGTTGACACTCAGTAACAAAACACTCTTTGAATACAGAAGTTCACAAATATCTACTTAAATTATGTCCTAGATGGCATCTTCCTGTTTCTATGCAGTCATTTGTGCCAGGGACTTCATTGGAGGACCACAAGTGTTGCATTTATGCTTATCAGTTCCTGCCATGAAACTGTATTTTTTTTTTGTGCCAGTCAGTAACTTCTGTGTGAAAGTTACTCTGTGTGGAAGTTAGAGAGTGCAAAAGATCTGTTGCTGGAAATACATGAAATGTTCGTTTCCATGATACTGTCTAATTGCTGTAAAAATATTTAGCAATTCTGGCTTTCAAGGGTTTGACCACATGGCTTGTGAAAGCAGCTATTTGTAACTGGAGTAAAGTTAATGAGTTGTTGCATCGTTTGAGAAAACTAATTGCTACTGTTGTCTGTATTTTGAAAGGGTCAGGTGGGTTTTGGTTTGAGGTTTATTTCTTTCGTCCTCTATGAGCACAATTATTGCTACAAATGAAGAACAGATATTTCTGTGATAATATTGGCATAACTAAGTATGGATACTCCAGTAGACCTGCTTTTATTAAAGACAGTTTTTTGCTTTACATTTATCTGAAGCCAATATATATTTTTAAATTTCATTCTTTTTAGCTATTCTTTGACAATCTCAGTCATTCTAAGCTCCAACTGGAAGTTTCTTGACACAGGATATATACTTCTCTGTGTATTCTGGGTAGCCCAATTTGAGAATGTATTTGAGCATTGTTTTCCTTGATAGACACACCAACTCTGTCTTAATCACTGTTTAAACATACTTGAGTTGTTTTGGCAGCATTGAACAGATTGTATGAAACACCAACATTCCCATTTAGTGTTGTCAACGTTAATGGCAACTAATAATAGGCTATTAGTGCACAAACTGCCTTCAGCTTTGCCTGAGGCTAAGCAAAATATAAATTAACTGCACGAAATGAATGACCAATTTCTTGGGGATCATTGCTTATCTCTGGTGTAGTATAAATAGCTCTATTTAAACATGAACAGTGTTACCGTGTAGTATGTGAACGTAAATTTCAGACAGCAAGAGTACAAAATAACCACATCAAAAATAGTTCCTTCATTCCACTGAAGAAGGCTGCATTTACCCTCAGTTCATTGATGCTGAGGATATCTGTTATTGCAGCATGTCAGAACATCAAGTTCAATACTTTCGTCTGCCAGACTACAGAGCTGGCAAATTTATTTATTTGTTTATTTTTTTTTACGAAGGAAGTCTGAGGTCCAGAAGAGGATACAACCCTGATCTACAGGAAAGGGTGGTCTTCAGATGTACATCTAAAATTACACCGTGTGATATGGATCTGTGTCCCCTGCTAGCCAGTGTACTAAAAAGCAGCCTACAGTCCTTTTTGAGTCCATATGGTCTTCCTCGTTGTTGTTCATGCAGTTCTTATGGTTCCCTTTACAGGATGTCTGTGCAGCTATGACACGATGAATATCACCTCAGGTGCATTCATGCCATGCTATAAACCGTTTCTGAGTCACATTTGACATGTGCCCAGCCATCAACTCTCTTAATTTTAGCTACTACATCTCAGCTGAGAACTGTTACAGAACTTTAGCCATTTCTACAATAACACAATTTCAAGATTTTTTTACCTTGTCAGATTGCTTTGAGGTACTTTTAAGGCTGACTTGTTTGGCTTACTCCTGACATCTACTGAGATGTTTTTATGCAATTAGTTACTCTTTCTCTACCCCATAGTGAGAACCAAGAGGAGAGTACAGGATTCCCAGTGCTGGGTGAGTGTACTGTGAAATGCACACTCAGTCTGGGAGCCTGAAATTTCCTTAGGCTGCATTATTTTGCATTATTTTATGACAACTGGGTATTAGCTATAGTTCACAATGACTTATTTGAGATTTGTAGGCGAGAAATTGGAGTGTTAGTACAGACCATGCAATAAAGCTTTAGAGTGCTTGAGATCTGGTCAGGAATCTTTGTAATATCATACTTGTCTTTTTAAGAACAAAGCAAGAGGGGAAAAAACCAGTTGTGGAAAAATGTAATTTTTCCTTTTCACCCACATAAATTAGGGGGGAACTTCTTTCTTAACATCAGTGTTCTATTTGAAACAATACTTTTAATGCTATCAATAATTTTAAACAGCAGACTGCAAAGATAGGATAAAAATATTAGCCATATATTAATAAGTAGATGTAGTAGAGAAATTAGTAGGTTACAGATCAAAGCTGAGCTTAATGAACTAGGAACATGTAAGATTAATCTTGGGTAATTCATCTAAGTATTTGTTTTATAGCCTGGGAACAGTGATCCATTTAACAGAGCTCTAGACTGTCCCTAAATCTCGGGAGTTTTTTCTCTGTGATTGCTGGGCAGATAGGTGAGTTTTGGGCAAGTCACCTCAGCTCTTTGCACTTACAGATTCAGTATCTTAACATATCTATTAAAGGGGTAAAGATGCCTAATCAATGCAAGGAATAATGGAATTGCTGAAGCCGTATGGGCTGTGCAGCTTTGTGTCGTTACGCAGACATGGAGAGGATTTAGCTAAGGACAATGCTCTGATTTAATTTATGGTGTGTGTCAATAGACCTACTGTGAATTCACACCTGTTTAAATTAGACTTGAATTTGGCTCTTCATAAAAGTCTTGTGTATAGTGTAAGAAAGTGAGAGCATTGGGATTAATGTTGCTCTTATTTACT